TTTCTGTTACAAAAGTCTGCTGAAATCTTCTATTTTTTTATAATGTAAAATGCTGTCAAAATGAAATTAGTGTTCAAATATTATTGTCACACGTACAAGAATACTGTCCGGTTCGTTATTATCAGGGACATTTTCAATGAAGTTATTCGTGAGAAATATCAACCAACCACACTCTGTATGGAACCAAATAAAAAAAGAAACTGAATGAAGTAGTGGTAGAATCTATCCATATATACAAACCTTGGATATCCTTTGGATATTCAAAATTACAAATTATATATTTTTGGATATACCAAATATACAAAATTGTTTATTTCTGGATGTAAGAAATATACAGATTTGTATATTTTGGATGTATTATTATGTAGAACATTAACACATTTACCATCGACAAACCATCTTTCATTCAGTGTATGACCCACAATCATAGGTTTCTGGCGTGCCCAAGGGATACAACGCTGCACAGCAAATCCACGACTGGGCAACCCGTACCCCCCTTTTAATATAGAATACATTTTCCCCTGAAGACCAGTAGTTCTTAAACAGTACCATGGTGTATAACGATGAACGGGATCAGAAGCTTTTCTTTAAATCGACACCATCCTTACATCCATCAGTGAAGATAGAGCAGTGAGAATCGTAAATAGATCTCAGCTGGACATATTATTGCTGAAAGATTAACTGTATCAGACTTTTAAAAAGTAAATGTTTATTTGAGTGAGGTCTACTTTCTGGTTTTACTAATTGCCAAAGAGGCGTTAACTCTAATTGGCATAGAGCAATAATAACAAGATGAATATTTGCTGCTGCTTCGTTGAGAGGATAAAAAAACGCATTCATTCAGTGGATTTGACGGGATGGATTTTCATTTTGATATATTGTAATACAAGTTTTAAACAACGTTGTTTTTAAAGAAGGTTCATCAGCCTCCACTCTACACTGTCAACAGGATCCACCATACATGATCGAAGCGTATTCAAATGGAGAAGGGTTGTCTGATCCCGCCCCGTTTAGCGTTTGATAAGACTTTCAGTCTAGTCTAGTGTTTTCAGGCACTTTGCTTTGAAATATTTTTATGTGGCAAGAAGGCCAGGTGATGGACGAATGTAAGCCCCATGCCCTTGACCTCCTCAACTACTTTGATGGGTGTACCAGATATAAATAGTTCTGGGTCCTTGTGCTGTCTATATTGTCTGCAGAAGTGTACACAATAAGTTTTAGTCTGATAAACCATTAAGCCGATATACAAGCGACCATTTGTGGCTTTTATTGAGACGCAATTGCAGTTGTCTCTCAAATAACGATCCATCTCCTGAGCCATTTAAAACTTTTGACAGACTGTTTATCGTGATATTAAATAATGTGACAAACAAAATACTGCCTTGTGGACTACCCTGATCCCATTTTATTTATCATGGTCAGACAGGGTGGAACTCTGAAATTTTCTTTCTGTTAAAACTGTGATATTAATTGAGGCAAACGGCCTCTCAAACCAAAACCATGTAAATCATTAAAATGCCATGCTTCCAGGTACAATCATAGGCTTTGTCAAGATCGAAAAAAACTGATACTGCGTGTTGTTGGTTTACAATAGCATTTTAAAGAAAGGATTCTAAAGGGGACTATTGCTTTTAAAATACCAAACTAATTACCTTTCGTTCAATGGTCTTACAGACACAGTTGGTTAAAGATATAGGGCGCTAATAAGAGGGATTTGCATGAACCCGTCCAGGCTTTGGTATAGGGAGTACAAATATGCCACGAATTAGGAATATTCCCTGAATACCATATTTGATCAAATATATGTAAAAGGGTTTCAAGACATAAATCAGGCAAATACTTCAAGTGAGTGAGTGAGTATGGTTTTACGCCGCTTTTTGTAATATTCCAGCAATATCACGGCGGGGGACACCGGAAATGGGATTCACACAATGTACCCATGTCGGGAATCGATCCCGGGTCTTCGGCGTGACGAGCGAACGCTTTAACCACTAGGCTACATAGGCACCTACTGGTACATCATGAGCTTGCCCAAGGGCAGTATGTAGCTGACGATGGGAAAACATTTTATTATAGTCTTTCAATTATCAGAATTAAAATAAATATGTTTCTTTTGTTGTTTCGGATGTATTTAAAATTCAGCGACATAAGTAATCGACAATGAATTCTTAGCCAAACTTTCGCCAAGTTTGAAAGCAATATCTGAATTATAAGTTAATAACTGATCACCTTCCACAAGATGGTGAACAGAAAACTTTGAACCTTTGCCTTAATTTTTTTGTATCGTGATCCACACCTTGGACACGGCAGTGCGTGAATTTATTTTGTAGACATAGTTCCTACTAAATTGACGCTTACTTTGTTTAAAAGCATGCCATGCTTGTGCATTCTTAAATGTTACATGATCTATATTATTAAATGTAGTACGTTGGCGGATATTTTTCCCCCACTTTCTTCCAACAGTTCCGTACCTGTTTGCATTCGTTAGTAAGCCATGGTTTACGAATATGTGGATTTGCAGATAAGTATATTTCATTGAGTTTATCTGAAACAACTGAATCGGATCTTCAGTATCTTTGAATTATTCAGGCGTTATTTTTGAAGTACATTCTATTTCATACAGTGAGTCATTAGCATTTGTAAAATTAAAATGAGATGAAGATGGATCAGCATCGGGTTGATGGCTTTTAGAATAGTGAGGAAGTGATCGCTTCAAAATCGTTAAATATGTTTGAATCTGTGAGAGATAAATCAAGTACTGAATACGTTTCAGCTACTTGATGTTAGATGTTAATAGGTTTGTTGAACCATCATTACAAATACATAAATTATAGTCAGAAATAAATTCCTTAAGTACCTTCCCTTGATTGTTTGTGTTTACACTCCCCTATAGAGGGTTATGCCCATTCACGCCATCAGTGATTATCCATGGTTTAGGGAGCTGATCATGTAGATTTTGAAGATCAGGTCGTCGAAGTGTAGTGGACGGCGGAAAATGCAATTACCACAGAGTAAATACTATGTTGAAAGGTTAACAAACAGCAACAGCTTGAAGATTTGTATTAAAAAGAACAGGGCTGTTATTGACACCCTGCTTCCCAAAAATAGATCCTCAAGAAAAGAAATGATGAAATTTGTACTGCCTTAAATGGATTTCATGGATTTTTCATTGAAATTCTTCCTGGGTCCTCTGCAATTCCACTGAATCAAATGTAGGGAGGCACAATTGGGAAGCTAGAAGGTGTGGATTGGCCAATCCCATGTGCAGGTTGGAGTGTCCTGTCCTTTCTCCTCAACGGTTTCCTTTTCCTTTTATAGGTTAACTGTCTCAATTTCTTTTTCGGATGTTCGCTCATATGGAGGTTCAGTTGGATCTTGTGCAGGAATCTCTGTCTGAGAGCCTGATGAATTTGTCTGTGAAGTTTCTAGCATAAATGTGTCACAACGTGTGATCTGTGTATCTGTCACTCAAGATATGAATGTTTGATATGTTATTGATTTAGTAACCTTGGGGGTAGTTGGAACAAGAGCAGGAACATACAGAAGCGTAGTAGGGCCACGGTGATTTCTTTTGGTCTAAGTATCTCCTACGTAGGTCTTAGTATCTCCTACGTAGGACTAAGTATGGCCTAGAATCGCTATCTCCTACGTAGGATTTAGTATCTCCTATGTAGAATTTAATATCTCCGACGTAGGACTTATCATCTCCTACGTAGGACTTAGTATCTCCCACGTAGGACTTACGTAGGACTTACTATCTACTATGTAGGACTTAGTATGGCCTAGAATTTCTATCTCCTACGTATAGCTTAGTATGGACTAGAATAACTATCTCCTACGTAGGAATTAGTATCTCCTACGTAGGAGATAGGAAGTCCTATATAGGACTTCCTAGTGATTCTAGGCCATACTCAGTCCTACGTAGGACATAGTAAGTCCTACGTAGGAGATACTTCTCACAGATCCAGTTTTACAGACGGGTCCAAGGATGGTGGCAAATGCCATCATCAACTGTCTAGTCAAGAATCCCAGATAATAGGTCAATCACCACTGCTAAGGCCAAAGCTATATTAACAGCTTTGACCTGCATCATCATTTTCTCTGATTCGTTGTCATGCCTTCAGGCACTTAAAAGGGTCTCGTCTTATCACCCTATTATCCTAGACATTTTAGAACTATACAATGATCTTTCTACTGGCCAGTGTGACATTGTCTTTTGCAGGTTACCAAGTCAGGTAGGCATAGCAGGTAACTCCAAAGCCGTTGCTTCAGCTAACAAAACGTTATCTCCACTACTTATTCCGTACATTGATTTCAAACCAACCATCAAGAGTTATACTCGGGATTTCATGCAAAGACGGTGGCACACCCAGGTAGGAATCAATAAACTTCACGAATTTACCTACTTGGGTTGTCAGTCAAGACACGATGAGGTCGTTTAACTACATTGGCCACAGACGGTTTACCGATGCATATCTGCTTGAGGGGGATGAGGACAATGTTCGAATAATGCCGATGCGACGTTAAACGTAAACTCACTCACTCCGATTAGGTGTTGGTCATTATTGATCAGTTGGCCGATCGTTTAAAGGTGATTTTAAAGATGTGTGAAATACTTAAGTATACTGCTGCAGAATGTTGTTGACTGTCACCGCCAGTGTAATCGCATCTTGTCGGGTGTTTTGAATTATTTATGTTTGCATATGTTTGTGGCAGGTGCCACCGGTTGTACAGGGCACGCTCAATTTTTCGCAAACATCTGGTATCATCCCTATTTGATGGTTGCTTATAAACACATGCTCGGATATAGTCGTACAGTCGAACAAGATTCCCAATGAGTGTTGAATGGGTTTTGTTTATTCACCAGGATAGGTCGTAGCGAGGATATACGACAACACCCAAGACTTTAGTATCTAAATGATCAGCAACAAATCCGGATATCATGTAACCTAAACATTACAAATATATTTATATGATGAAACAAAACAGTTTTGACTCACATTGTAATGGCGCCAATTTCCACTGTAGCAGATATTTGTCAGGAACATCTCATGGTGAAGCAAGCACATGTGGTCAGTTGCAGATACGCTGAAAGCCACGCATCTGGTGTCTGTGGCACACTGTACAGCACATGAGGCAACACTATGTATGTTGTCAACTGCAGTCTCATTTATGGGAGAGATAAACTGAGTACACTCAGAATACGGTTTGATGGAGATACTCCTGGTATGATCTTCAGCACTTGTTTTGTAATGAAGGAACAATGTGACAATAGCGAGCATGGTTAGGGCTGCCATTTCTCTTGTAGGAATCTCTGTGTTGCTCTTCCACCTGTGATAGCAGTAGCAGTAGTGTTAATCGATTCACAATTACGTCACTGAATCAGAGAGATGGTGTAATGATATGACATAATATGATAATTATATTGGTACGCCCACAAACTAAATAGATACGGATGTTATTTATGCACATATATCTCACAAACTGCTTCAGCGATAAACTGTTTTAACATAGGGAAAGCAAATGTAGTTATTAAACATCCTCAAGGGAATGTCATAAGGTTTTATCTAAACCTAAACACGTAGGGTTTGTTCATAGCACGACTACTAAGGCAATTCTGTATACATTGGGAGATGTATGTACCGATGGTTGCTATGTCCGGCGTAAAGTGTGTGTGTGTGTGTGGGGGGGGGGGGGGGGGGGTCTTGGGGGCAGCCCGAGCAGTGGCACCTGATGGTATCAAACCTGTTACATGACGGCATATATTGTCGCCGGTGCATTCTATAGGCGTTAAACATGTACATAGGTGTACCTTGTGTGAACTGGCAGATATGTCAAATTACTTGGCAACATTCATACAATTGAATATATTTTATCATTTATATCATCTTATTGCTTAATTGTCTGGTCAAGTGTTGGTTGTTTACAATGACGTCGTATGGCAGGAGTACTGCTGAAGAGCGTCAGGCACCGAACACTCACATTTGTATACAAATTCTGCGACATATTTTATGATTTTGGACATGGATTGGTTGCTTTTAATTAAGCGGTATGTAAACATTTGCATTATATTTTCCCCTCTCCGAAAGAGAAATGTTCATCCTATGGCAAGGTAACCTGTACATATCAGATCAATGTGCTTTTCGATTTTTGTAATGACGGAATAATCTGGTAGAATAAACACACCAAGAAGAATTCATCTATTGAGGGAATTGAATTCAGTGCTTTTGTGTGAATCAATACAAATTAGTTCTCATTGATCAGCAATTATTAAATGATCGAAATCAGTTAATGTGGCCTCGGGTATTTTATAGTGATACATATTGCGTTTGTATATGGATGACTACTAACCAGTAACCGTGAACACAACAACTCTCCAAGAACATGTATCAAGGCAACAAACCAAACAATTACAATTAATTAGTCCAATCGTGTGACGAATCGCTAGAACTCAAGTAATTATTCATATCATTTGAACAAACGGTGATATATTTTATTCACATATCAGTGGGTGGTAATGTGCATATATGACATATAAAACATATAAAATCCCTTACATTATGTCTATATCTTTCTGAACAATGTGAATCTACGAAAGCATCCACTCTAAACAAGCAGCAATATGTTAAGATGCTAGACAGTAATGGGAAAACTACATTCCATGGATCAGATTCAATCACATTCCTCCTTTCCCCGCCATTCCTCCAGTCTAAGGCGCCGCAATTCGCTGGGCAGAGTTGCGTTCCTTGAGCACGCCAGAAACCTATGGTTGTGGGTTCAAATCCCGGTTCACCCCGATTATGTTTCTAGGTTTGTCAGCACCATACCCGTGCTCGTGGGTTTCACCGAAGTGGAAAACGTCTCAGACCTGCATGACTTCGGGCTTTCCTCCCACATTAAGCTGACACGCCGTGATATAACTGGAAAACTGTTAAAAGTCGCGTTAAACCCAACTTACTCACTCACTCACTCCTGTGGCCAAAGGGTACTTTTAATATGAAGGGATACGCCAGTTTTCGACAGGGTAGAGTAATGAGAAATCCAAATGTTAATCCAATGGGAACAGTCACAGTGTTCTGTGGGGAACAGTCACGGTGTATTGTGGGGAACAGTCACAGTGCATTGTGGGGAACAGTCACAGTGCATTGTGGGGAACAGTCACAGTGTTCTGTGGGGAACAGTCACAGTGCATTGTGGGAAACAGTCAAAGTGTTCTGTGGGGAACAGTCACAGTGTTTTGTGGCGAACAGTCACAGTGTTTTGTGGGGAACAGTCACAATGTTATGTGGGGAACAGTCACAGTGTTTTGTGGCATACAGTCATAGTGTTTAGTGGCGGACAGTCACAGTGTTTTGTGGAGAACAGTCACAGTGTTTTGTGGGGAACAGTCACAGTGCATTGTGGGGAACAGTCACAGTGTTTTGTGGGGAACAGTCACAGTGTTCTGTGGGGAACAGTCACAGTGCATTGTGGGGAACAGTCACAGTGTTCTGTGGGGAACAGTCACAGTGCATTGTGGGGAACAGTCGCAGTGCATTGTGGGGAACAGTCACAGTGTTTTGTGGGGAACTGTCACAGTGTTCTGTGGCGAACAGTCACAGTGTTCTGTGGGGAACAGCCACAATGTTCTGTGGGGAACAGGTACAGTGTTTTTTGGCGAACAGTCATAGTGTTTTGTGGCGAACAGTCAGAGTGTTTTGTGGAGAACAGTCAGAGTGTTTTGTGGGGAACAGTCAGAGTGTTTTGTGGGGAACAGTCAGAGTGTGTGATGTGGGGAACAGTCAGAGTGTTTTGTGGGGAACAGTCACAGTGTTTTGTGGCGAACAGTCACGGTGTTTTGTTGGGAACAGTCACAGTGTTCTGTGGGGAACAGCCACAATGTTCTGTGGGGAACAGGTACAGTGTTTTTTTAGCGAACAGTCACAGTGTTTTATGGAGAACAGTCACAGTGTTTTGTAGGGAACAGTCACAGTGTTTAGTGGCGAACAGTTACGGTGTTTTGTGGGAAGCAATAAAACAGGCAACAACGGAACAGTTATTGAAAACGTTTTGGACAACCTGGTGTTTTGGGTAGATGGATGGTTTCTCCCTTGGAGCTTTCGCTGATATCCTTCTCATTAGCGTCTAAATGTAACTGGGATGGGTTCCAAGACGATGCTCTTGGTTGTGATCACTTTCCACAATTCACTGAAATTCCACGATGGAAATTTTGAAATGCAAACCGACCCAGATTTTCTCTTTGCGAACACCACACTGTTTCTGAACTAATAAATGAAGATATTGATGTTTCAAATTACTTCATACATTATTGACATATCACAGGCTACAAATGGAAAATCGTGTGGTTGAACTATTAATGTTAAAAGGCAAACAAAACAAGGAATATATAAGGAATGTAAGCCTATAGTAGGGTTTGCAACACATTTCTTCATTGTGATCTGGCTGGGTTCAGAAAGAAGCATGCCGAGTTTAAAAGTGTTCTTCGTTGGGCAAAACGCTGGAGTTGGTATAACTACACTTCAAGGATCCATATATTTTCTCATTTTCCCTTTATTTGGTCGAGAATGAAAAGTATCAATGGGACTCATATCCGGCGTCCTATACCTGTTTTAAGTGTAGAGGGCAGCATAGAGACCAATTTTCAGAATTTTAATAAACCAGCTGAACAATTTAAAACAGTTAGTAGCTCTGATAACTTCCAAAGGGATTTCAGAGAAGTCAAATAATCTTGCGTTTTCACCTGACATTTTTTGGCGGTCATATTGGAATGTAGCTCTGACTTAAAAACCCCTTTCTCATACGATGAATTAACAGATGCCATATCCAAAGCACACAATTCCTCTATTGGAGCAGATGATTTATGTTATGAGATGTTTAAGCACGTATCTGATTATACTCTTTCAGTTATCTCAGATCTGCTTAATATTTGTTGGAGTTCCTAAAGCCTGGACACATGCCATAACTGTCAAAGTACCAAAACCAGGGAAAGATCCAACAAGGCCTGCTTCATACAGACCAATTTCACCAACTTCTATTTCTGCAAAAGCATGGAAAGATTGATGCAGTTTCAACCATAAAGGTTGAATTCGCAGAACTGCCACCAGGCCTCTGTCGTGAACTCGTGTCTCAAACATTGCCCCAAACTCAAATCTAAAACCAACTTCAATGCAGCTTATGATGTTGTTGATGATTGTGTTAAGTATGTAATTTGCGATTACACACATAGCAAGGCCCCACTCGGATTGAGCATTCAGACACGTGCGGTTATTCATCGAGTAACACAGTGCGACCCAAGACTCTGCTCAGTGGCTGCTTCTGAGACCAGGGCTTTGTTATGATCTGACTTCAATCATTTGCGAACGAATGAGTCCAAATGCCATGAAAGCCGTATCTCAGGCTTTCCGGATTTTTGCAGTTCAGGTGTGTTCAGGCTAAATGACCATCTCTCAGCATTTGCTGCTGAACCTATTGCTATTCTTCAAGCTCTAAGGTGGGTTAATGAAAAAGGTCATGAGGCGGTGCTTATATTTACTGATTCCAAGGAGGCTGTTACAATATGAGAATCCACATGGTATCATTTACACATGGTATCATTCTGTGAAACACAGAAACACATCTTTATTTAATATAAAGGTCACAGGCTCGAAATACAAACTTTTCGGGGACTACATTTCTAAGCGTTACAACTTATGGATACTAGGAGAAAGGTAGAGTGTGATAGATGTTTTTTTGGCATGGGGTAGGTGGTACGTAGACAGTTATATATACACATGTAGCGCGGAGACACATATCATTTGTAGTATTCTAAGTGGTATTATATTATTCATATTAAGTGGTGTATATTTTGCATATTTAATATGTACAAACACAGATCATGCATTGTTTGTGTCTCTTGAATTTTCATTATAGTCAAGAATGTGTTTACTGCAGCCATTTCTGATATATTTACAAACAAGAGGTATATACATAACATACAAGTAAAACCCGAATTTGATCTTCTATGTGCATTTTGTCCTTTCGCCTACTGTGATCTAAGTCTTGTGAAACGCATTCCCACATGTAAAGGAATAACAATCCACGGATATTTTGTCCTCATATTCATATTCTTGTCAGGACAACTAAATCAACAGAATCAAAACCAGCCCACCTGCCTACAACGTCTCTGGCCTCTCAAAAAAGTGTTGCATAATATTCCCAGAAACCTTATCCGTACAAAACGAAGCCCAAATTAACATATAATATTTTTCATATGCGTAGCCCAAGAGACTTTATCATTAAATATCCAGAATGATTAATCGACACCAATA